TTACCATATTAGCTAATTTAATTAAGTTTTGTTTCTTATTATTCTCAACAACCATCTTGGCAATTTCTTCAATATTTTTTTCACGTTTTTCTCTATCAAATACATCGAATAATTTTCTCACCAATTCTACGGTTTTTCTGTCGATGGGTGTGCCGTCATTTCCTTTTTGTTTTTTCGATGCCATTGTAAACAACAACAGTTCGTATCTTTCACAATGTCTTCTTCTTCTTCTTGTTTTTCTTCTTCACCACCGTCTTTAAAATCCAATTCAATATTTTCACTATTTCGAATTTGAATGCAATTCAAATTACATGTTACCCACGGTGTATCTTGTGTGCCCTTAAAACATTTTTGACCTATTTTTAGCACACATGTATAACGAGCAACATCAAAATCGACAATGGGCAAATTCGCAATTCACATTTCAGTATATGTAAAAAACGAATTATCAAAAAGGGAAGATTTAAAATAGGTTACGAAGTGGAAGATAATGATGAATGTATAATTTTACACCTACTATGTTTAACTCTTTCCCGACAGGTCCCTATTAAACAAATCACTCATGATTTATCATTTTTGCGGTTCATATCTTCAGTTCGGTAAATGCTACGTGGACCAAAATACCACCATTCGATTCAGTGTAACGATAGCTACTCATTCCTATCGATAGATTTAGTGAATGGCAACATTATAGCGATTTATGAGCTTTGAAAGTCAAACGAGCTCGTATATGAATAAATATGATCAAATTACGCAATATTACTGACAAATTATAAACATAAACATACCTTTCGCCGAATATAACTTTGTCCCATTGAGACGTATGCTCATTCTGATCGTCTTGATGGATTCAGAAGTCAAAAATAACACGTATAGTGTTATTTTCAAGCTTCTGTCTTTAAAGTTCGACATTTAGTGCCGAATTTTGTATTTCTGCTCCGAATATGCGTTAATCCCAACCGGAAATACGACGAAAACCCGTCAAAACAATGCTACGCTTGTATCGCGTGACTCTGGAAATGCCAGAAATGGATTCTACAGGTCAAAGTCACAGAATAAAGACATACAGAAGTGTATCTTCTTATTAAAAGTGCGTAAGGGATTTTTTCAGTCCGCCATGTTCTTAGCAAGTGCCCTAAAGAGAGGCAGTCACCCCCCTGAAAACATATTGAAAATTTAATATTCCAGGGGGTGAATGCCTCCCTTTAGGGCACTTGCTAAGAACATGGCCGCCAGCTATTTCGGTAAAAAGCGCCTTACGGTTTTGTAATGGAAGTTACACTTCTGTATGTCTTTATTCTGTGTCAAAGTGCACCCATACGCGTGAGTTTGACGTCATCCCGGCTAAAGGGAGCTCCTTATTGGCCAAGTATTACGTAATACAAGCGCGTGCGAGTAAAACCCGATACTTTAAAAATTCAAAATAAATATTTCTAGTCGGCGTATACATACGAAACTTTCTACACGAAAGCGCTTGAATACAAAGAGTATTTTACACATATATCCTTTCAGGAAATGACACCAAAGTTTAGAATATATTCAACTTTTTCTAATTTTCTCATTTGAATGTTTGGCGAAGCGGTGAGTATAAATATATGATTGTTTCGGTTTGTGTAATGTTTTGACGGCACTTGACCCCCCATTCGAAAGGTTATATTGTGAGGATTTCAATGGTGGAATTTATTTAATAGGGGGGTAAATACTCGCCGAGATATTTATATTAGAAAAATTGTATCGAAATGTAATACGAAACCGGTTGTCGAGAAAGAGTTAAAGAAGCTCTTGAAAGTTATGCCAAAGATTGGGATGGTATATATAAAGTAGAACCCTCAGATTTATGGCAAAGGTTACAGCTGTATTTGGCAAACTCACATGTCCCACCTGATGTTGAATCTAAAATTAGAAGAATCATAGAATATATTGAAAGGGAGTACGATAATTATATCGGTGTTACCGTAGTATATTAAAAATGAGCGGTCGTTTTGTAACTAATTTTATCCGGGGTTATCAATTTCAAAATCCTAGATGACGTCAACCCACACAAAGCATTTGAAAATCAAAACAATGTATCAGCGATACATTATTGCAAAAAAAGATATCGAAAACGTACAGCTCACACGCCAAAATGTTGGATTCACTTAGCAAAACAAGATAATCTACTTATTAAACCTTCCAATATTCCAAACGGGGGAAAAGGATTGTTTTCATGGAAAAAAACGATATCGCGTGGGCGTGTAATCTCAAAATATACTGGTAGACGAGGTACAAGGCAACAAATTGATAAAAAATACAGAAACAGCGTTGCACAATATGCTTTATGTAACAAAAAAGGTGTGTGTATTGACGCCAACCATACAACCGATGCTGCAGCAAGATTTGCTAATGATGCACGAAATACCCCGTTTTGCAATAATAGCATTATGTGTGGAAATCAAATGTTTCGATTAAAAGCCTCCCAACCAATTCGACCCCATTCTGAATTTTTTTTAAACTATGGAGACGACTATTGGTTATAAAACATAATGATATCCTCAAATAAATTTTATAATTCTAAAGCATGTCGTTAAGATACGTCAAAAAAATGTTCGGTCCCGGAAAACAAAGAGGAGGGAGAGCAATAAATCCCAGTATTAATCCAGATGCTGGTAATCCCTATGCTTACACCATACCCAGATGCCGCCAAAGAGGCACGAGTATAACACCTAATGTAGGCGATATATTACAGCGTGCAGTTACAGATACTATTGTAAATGGTAAAAGATATGCAAATAATAAAATAAAAAGAGGAAAAAAAAGAGCAAAACGATTACTACACAACAAGAAGAGGTCAACAGCATGGATTGAACGGCAAAAAGGCGGTGCGTTAGGTCAAGGAAAAAAAACTAAAAAATCTATCATTTCAACCGGTTGAACAAACAAAATCTCTTCATCTTCTTCAACCACTTTCTTCTTTATCCATTTTTCAGTATAATAATGTAGAACCTCCATACTCCGCCCCAATGCACACACCATCTCAGACACATTTACATATAATCCTGTCTCCAAATGTCTCTGCAAAATACGAAGCCCTGTATACAAAGTTGTTCCCGCAAAAACCTCGACCGCAGTATCCTCGATATTACATGGGCCACAACCCACGTGAAAAAATGTTTCATCAACCAAATATTCCGGTTCTAAATGACAACAAATCATTTGCATGGTAGAACGTTTTAAGATTTCGCGACAGCAAAATTCAAATGGTAATAAAACAAACATGCCATCACGCACTGCAATTCGTCGTACCCATTCAACGGGGACAGAATACAAAACTTTTTCATTTGCTCTTTCACCCGTGGGATTTTCCTTAAAAATACTCATTGTAACAGCAGCCATTCGAGGGCCTTTTTCCCATTTCAGTTCCGGTGTATCTTCATTATCGCTTTTAATTGTATTTGTAGCATCAAATCATCAATGGCGATGAAATCTCGAATATCTTCAAAACTTCCCTTTAACCAATGATCCTTAATAAGTACATAGTCTTGAATTCGAATCTCTTGATTTCCATGAAACGAAGGAGGTTTATACGCATGCAAAAATCGACAAGTTGAATATAATTCCCACAAAATCGGGTTATAAGGTTGTTTTTGTAAAAGATAACTCAAAACTTGCAAAGTTACCATCTTTACCAACTTTCCCCCCTTACTAACTTCACAGCCCTTTTAAAACCCTTTGAACAAATTCCGAAAATACTTTCACCTCATGTTTTGAACAATGAAAATAATCACCCAGATGATACTCGCAACATTCCTGCTCATACCCATATTTGGTCAACAACACATCATATTTCGGACATGCCAACCCTTCAAGATTGATACACCGCACACCCATATTATTTAACAAATTATGTTCAATGTCACCACCATTATAAGCAACTAAATCTGCATTATTAAAAAATCTGCATTGTTAAAAAATCCATCGACTCTTCCAATGTAAAAAAATCACTTGTTAACCGCTTATTAACAATCGGTAAACCGTGTATTTTACAAATTTGATAGCGGATAGTATAATCTTTGTCATTAAACGGTACAAACGGGCTAAACACCTGAAACGATGAACATTCACCAGTTTTAACTCGATAAACAGATACCTCTCGAAGAAAAGTTTTACGCGCATTTGTATACGCCTCACAATCTATAACATGTGTAATTTGCAAAGCAATTTCTTTCTTTCGACTTTCAATCGATCCAGTTTCTTCTACAGACAATTGATTATGTCTTCTCTGAAATAAACACTCCATCCTTGTGCAACATTAAAATACAACTAAAAAAGCATTTTCTTTTCAATTTATTTTCCCATTTTTATTTTTCATACAAACCGATTGTTAAATGTTCTACATACAAACGTGTAAAATGCAAATTTACTTGCTTACACATACAATAAGTATTCATCAAATTACACAAACATTTACATTAGTCTAAATAAAACATATTTTTACACATTTCACTTACTATAAAACGATAACCCTGTATAAAATCAGGTGCTACTATTACACGATATAAATGTCTCAAATCCCTACGAATTTCCTCAACACGTTCCTTCTCCTTTGCATGTCCATAGCCAAAACGATGAATACTATCGCTTATATGAGACAAAATATTTTTCACATGCTCACCATAAATTTGATTTACAAGTTGATCCATGTGGATCACACTCTCCATACAACGTTGTACACCCAAACATTGTATACCCATACTCTCATACAATACACTACCTCTATGATCTATAGTTGGTAAATATTTTACCTCGTAATTTACATGCATATGTGTCATTCCATGTTCTAAATGTCAATCTATATACATATCCATGATATGTTCTATGCAGTTCTGTTACATATAACCAAATACGCTACATCTACGTATAATTTATCATAAGCGTACACTGTTAGTTCCATGGGTTTTATTGATAAGTTACGTCGATATAAATGTTTTCCCAAATGCTGATGCAACTTCCAACCGTAATGGTCACGTGGTGGTAAAGAACACCTCATCACTTACAAATAGCTGTGCGTCCTTAAAATAGGATTTTCCAGATTTCTTTAATTCCTTCTTCGTAAAAATATTACAATAACAAATCTGGTCAGTCTCGGAACATTCACATTTCGATAACATCCAATCCCTCACAATTTTCATTAAACGCTGATGATACAATAATATCTGAACCAATCGTACAGATACCGCAATACCCGTACTAGTTTGCAAATCTTCAGCCAAAACTTCACAATGACCGTCCTGATAATGCTCCGTAATATAATCTATAACAGTTTGAACTACATTGCGGACAAAAGCAGCCGCTTCCACTTCCGTTAAACCATCATGTTCAGCATAATCCAATTTAAACCCGTAAGCCGTAAATGTTATATAGGGTAGGTATAGAGCAGTTGCTAAATCCCCATTAAAAGATTCAGGATAAACACAAATATTAATTTCAAGTTCAGCATAAATTCCCAACAACCAATGAGCCACGCCTATGTCTATAATTCGTTGTCCTTTTTCCGTTCTTTTCACATCTATAATATAGATATAAAAACTTGGCATTTTTGTCACAACACCCTTTAGACATATTGTAGGCCATATTCGACCACCCGCTAGCTGAACAGCATGATCTCTACCAAAACCCATGAAAAATTCATAAAATCTTAAATCGTTATTAATCTGTCGTATTCTTATTAACGGTTCGTCTTCTGAAACAATATCAAAAGGCGTTTGCACATCAATCACTTTGACATCGGTAGTAGCCATACTACAATAAAAAAATAATTATTGTTGTAATATAGCACGACCTCGCGAATCCAATTCTACAAGTATGGGGTGTGTCATTGTATAAAATTTTAACTGTCTATCCACTAATTGTTGAGACACCAATATGTGTGTATGTTTTAAAATTGTTTTTACAACATGTAAACTCTTTAAGTTCTTTCGTGCGGCTTTAAAACAATATTCGTGAAATATACCGCATAAACCACCATACCATCCTGCAAAATAAAATGAAATATCCCAAACACAATCGTTATAATACAAATTAATATAACCTCTATCATATACATTATTACAATCCCCAAATAAATCATAACAATATTGATCCATTACATACCTCATCATATTCCTGTGTACAAGAATAAAATTGTGTGTTTAATGTATCTGCAAAATCTTTTATAGATAAATCCAAATATTTCATACCACATATCATAAAATAATATAATAACAACATAACCGCACCAATTAAAACCTTAGCTACCAAACCCAATTTACTTTCGATTATAAAATGTAGACAATCCAAAAATACCCATACTATGACCTTCATTATGCATGTAGCTGTTACCTTAACTGAAACAATAATAATAATACATACCATATTCATATATGGTCAACACCTACGCATCAACGAAAAAAACCCATTACCCAATATGGTCAATACAATTTCATTCCCGCATAACACATATAAACACATATAAACACAAATTAGGTTACCATAACACTTTGACCATATATGGACGTATGGATTTTTTACTTGAAAATAACTCATATATTCTTTTCACATTTAACTACTGCTCGTGAAGGAACATACACAGCAAAATCTTTTAAGCAAAAAAAATGGATGTTCCCGACGCAGAATTCTACAGATTCCTTGATTTATTGGGCGTTGTTGTTAAAGACGATACAGATATTGGATTGTTGGCAAACGATTACTTCAATTTCCAACAATTTGCACATCGCTACCCAGAGAATCTATTCGAGCTGAATTTCATAAAATGGCAGTTGTCTAAAAATACAACACCAGCATCATCACCAGCATCAAATAAAAAAATTCTACAAGCGAAGCCCGTAACTACCATACCTTTAAAAATACAAAAATTAAAGAAATCCCTTAACCAACAAAGTAACTCGGAATTCCTAAATCTATCATTTCAACCGGTTGAACAAACAAAAACCACAGAGAAAATAGTGGTAGACACAGTATTGCAAGAAAAGTGTAGCGACGAAGCTATCGTGTACAATGAAACTGATACAATAGAAGCTATTAGTGGTTTAGTAACATATCTCGAACAGCCAAACATTTTCGATCAAGCCATGGTCACCCCACCTACAACACCAAGTACCCCAAGTACCCACCTCACTCGCGGTAAAAATATTGCTGTCGCGAAGCAAATTTTTGAAGATGAGCAGACACAACAACAACCCCCCTCACCACTTCAATCTCGACAACTAACCACCGCACCCCACACAACCCCATCCCTTCCAAAACGGAAGCGAAAACAAGAATTAGAAGAACATCCCAGCGGAAGACCCACCAAAGATGAGGTTCTTGTCCGTATTGACAGCGAAGAAGACGACATGTGCATACTTCAGCTATCGCGACGAGAACTCATTTTACCCAACTCAAAAGGTGCTTGCAAGAAGTCAAAAACAATTTTAACAAAGCTGAAACATGACATTACGGTAGCGACACAAAAACAATTTCAAACCTATGAACTGTTTGCTGAAACTAGACGAAAAGCCCTGGATATAATTCGTGAAAATCGCGACCTCCTAGAAAAAATTAACTCTGCCGAATTTGTTCTCACCAGTCTTTTAAAAAAACAATCTGAAAACTAACAATATCTTTATATGAACAATTATTAATAATTATTTTTGTAAATAAAACCTTTTATATTCTTAATAAAATTTATTTGTTGCTTAAAATTTGTTGAAAATACTTATTTACATTTTTTAACTGTTTTAAAAAATGTGAATAAACGTTAATAAAACACTAAAATTGATTGAATTTTAACATGGTTTTTTTAAAAACTATTAATATACATTGAAAAATATTAATATACATTGAAAAATATTATAATACACTGAAAAAGGGTAAAAAACCCTGATTATTTAAACCTACACCCGATTAAAACGCCCACCACTTATGACGTCACACCGCGAGCCCTTAACTGCGCGCCAAATTTAAAAACTTGCCACTTCGGTCAACCGAGGCTTTGGGTTCGGAGCTCCCTTACGCATGTGCACTACTGCGCACGTCAATCACCCTACCACCAACTTAGGTCACGCCCCCTTTAAATTATCCCCCCCGTCCGTACAGTCAGCGGTCTCTGCTTCTGAGCTGACTTTACTTTCATTTTCCCATACAAAGCTCCAGTTAAATCACATAGGTTCACACACCCCCTCTTTTTTTAATCATATTCTACTATTACCAGGAAAAGTTACCTTCCATAGGACTGTTTTCAAATCCCTGAGCGTTAACTCCAAAATTCTACATGCCAGGTTATTCCAATATTTGTAGCTTTTGTCTTCAAGCAATTTTGTAATCTTCCATTTTTTCATCTCTTACTGTAGGACTTTCGATATTTATTCTTTCCACTTTTTGTTAGAAATGGCTTTCTGAATGTGGGTTGGTTGATATGAACTAAATGAGTTTGTGTAATAGGAATGTGGGCGTTGGCATGTTTTTTTTTTATCAATTCAATCTCATGGCTTCCTTTGGAGTGGCAATACTGCTGCTTTGTTGGGTGTCTGTATTGTCCTGATTGTTTGTGTTTGGCAAACCCATGTTCCTTTCTTGACTCATTTGTAAACGCATAAAGGTTTAAACTTGGCACCATATCCCCCAAACCTGCTGACTCTAATGCTTTTAAATGTTTTTGTAATGACAAAACTGTCTCTGCAAATCCTTTAACAGATATGTGGTACATGGTACCTTCAGGTCCAGCTGGAGCAGTGTTCAAAAATGCTCTGCGCTGTTTGATAAAGTTTTCCAAATACGACAAGGAATCCAAAAGCCATTGTAAGCCCTCAGCATATTCAATTCTGTTATATCCCCCAGCTCTTGCAACACGATTGTGCTCTGTTTTTTCTAAAAACCCAATGGTGTCATATATTTGCCTAATTTTCGCCATGAATACAATGTATGCAAACTTAAGTGTTGTGTAAACCCGTACATAGCCATTGTTCTTACCACCAAAGCAGCAGAATAACAGAGTGTTGAAGTCAAAACATAAACCAGTAGGTTCTAACAGTTGGGCTTTGGATGCAGGATCATCAGAGCATCCAGCTTCACCACTTCCTACTGATGTGTTAATTTGAAATATATCATTATCTGTTCTTTTCATGAGCACAATTTTGTTTGCTTGGACATCAGATACTCCGATTACTCCACTACTTGACACTGCAACATCAAAAGCCATTTTGAATCCTTTTGCTACAACTGTCACTAGCTTATTGTTGATGTCAATTTCTTTCACCGTGTGACTGTCTGCAACAAGAATTTTGTCAGGAGCACTAGAGGGGCACAGACCATGAGGACACTCCAGATTATCAATGATCTGAACAAGTTGGCCAGCAGTGAGAGTATTATCCATGGTAATTAAATGCACAATTGGACCTTCAGCGACCGCAAGTTTCGTTTTACCAAGAACAGCCAAACTTTCGGGTTTCCAATTTACTGCAGCTGAAATCAATTTAAGTTTGCCAACAAACTTGTCCACATGTAATGAATGAACATCCTTGATAAATCTGATGCAAGAGTTTCCCTTGTCGCATACAAACGCTATTTCGCTAGTGTAACATCCGAACAGCTTGGTATCGGAACGATCAGCAATCCTGACTTTCGAGTGAATATATATATGACCATCTAACGCCCCGCCTACAATCACTTCTTTACGAAACTAAAAAATATCAAAAGACGATGGGATACAAGTTCTGTTGGGTCAAAAACAGTTATATTTGCTTACGAAAAGCTGAAAATTCACGAATGACCAAAATGAAATCACTACAAGATCTTACCAATTTAATACAACAGGACTCAACTGGCAACGACTCAATGATGAATGATTAAAGCTAAGTATCAGACGTTTTCATTGACTATATCATATGTTTGTTTAATTGATGTCGAGTAAACACGAAGTCAATGTACATAAGTCAAATTTTCGTGAACTACCTTTCTACGGTATATATAATGATTTCTTTCTGACTAGCAGACCTTCAACTGAAAGACAGTTAAATAAGCTTACAAGTATTTATGATCTTGACGTATTTAATCTAAATATACGATCAAATTCTAATATTAACCCGGATCAAAATGTGATGAACAACCATATTCATTGCAAATATTATTCTCCTGAGAATTTTACTAAAATCAAAAAGGGTAATCATCGTTTATCAAATAATCATTTCTCTTTATTTCATAATAATGTAAGTAGTTTAAGAAAGAACTTAGAACATTTACAAGTTCAAATATTAGACGAATTGAAATTTCCTTTTAGTGTTATTGGCATCACAGAGACACGCATTAAAGATACCAACTTAGATGGTTTTAATTACAGCATCCCTGACTACTCATTTGAATTTGTTCCAACCCCTTTAGCTGCTGGAGGGGTTGGAATGTATATTAATAATGAATTTAGTTATACTGTTATTGAAAAATCTGCTAATACAGCTTATCAAGCGCTTTGGATTGAAATTATCATTCCTAACAAATAAAATATTATATGCTGTGTCGTATATAGACAACACAATTCACCTGAGACATTCCAAGCGTATTTTGAACAAAAAGTAGAGCAATACACATCAACAGGCAAATATGTGTTTATCATGGGTGATTTCAACATAGACCTATTAAAACTTGATAGGTGTAATTATGCACATAATTTTTTATTATATTTACAAAGCTGTTCAATGATCCCTAACATCGATAAACCCTCGCGCGTCCATGGGGAATCAGCCACGTTAATTGACAACATATTTATTAATAACCCTTCCAATGTGTTAGTTAGTGGGAACATAATATCTGATGTAAGCGATCATTTTTCACAATTTTGTATCCTAGATTCTATTACCGTCAGACAAAACATCCAAAAACGTAAATATCGTGACTATTCATCATTCTCCGATACTTTATTTAACCAAGAACTTTCAGAGATAAATTGGGATTTTGTCGTAATGGAACCAGAGAATAATCCTAACAAGTTATTTTCGACTTTTTTTAATAAAGTAAATAAACTAATAAATAAACATGCTCCTATCAAGACCATTTCTAGGCGTAAAGCAAAACAATTATCCAAGCCATGGGTAACTAGAGGAATAAGGGCATCTATTAAAGTTAAAAATAAGTTATTTCACACAAATAATGTAACTCAGTATAAAATATATAGAAACTATATTGTTACTTTACTCCGAGCCAGCAAAAAATTGTACTATGAAAAATATTTCAACTTGAATCACATAAATATGAGTAAGAAATGGGAAGGAATAAGGGAAATTTTGGGACGTAGCCGTAATAATAAAAATAATATTGGTGCCATGCAACAGGATACTACTTCTCGATTAACATTTGATCCTAAAAATATATCCAACATCTTGAATAAACATTTTGCTACATGTGGACAAAGATTAGCTGCTAAAATGCCTCATTCTGAAAAACATTATTCTGATTACCTTCAACATACAAATAGCCTTAACTACACATCTCAACTAGATTAATTTGTTTTCATTCCGATAACTGAAAGAGATATTGAACTTGAAATTATCACACTACCAACCAAAAAAGCTGAGGGTTTATACTCATGCCCTTCGAGGATTATTAAATGTGCAAAACACATTCTGAGCAAACCTTTGGCAGATATTTTTAATCGGTCGATTGAAACTGGAATTTATCCTAATAAACTCAAAATTGCAAAAATAATTCCAATTTACAAAGCGGAGGATGAAACTGAACCGAATAATTACCGACCCATATCCCTTTTATCGGTATTTAATAAAATTTTTGAAAAAATCATGTATAAACGTTTAGACAAATACCTAAATATGAAAAATATCTTGTGTCCCTCACAATATGGTTTCCGTCAACAACATTCTACACAACATGCCATTCTCGACATTGTTAACAAAATCCAAACTAACATGGATAATAAACTTTATTCCTGCGGTATATTTATAGACTTGAAGAAAGCCTTTGATACGGTAGACCACGATATACTGTTGGGTAAATTAAATCATTACGGTATTAGGGGAGTGGTAAATGACTGGTTCTCTTCCTACTTAAAAAACCGCTCTCAAACAACTGTGATTAGAAACTGTGTATCTGATAGAGAAACCACTTTGTGTGGAGTACCTCAAGGATCAGTCCTTGGGCCTCTACTTTTTTTAATATACATAAACGATATTTCGGAGTCATCAAACGTTTTTAATTTTTTTCTTTTTGCGGATGATACCAACCTACTATATGCTAATAAAAACTTGAAAACACTTGAATCTGTTGTAAATTCTGAATTGAATAATGTTTGCAAATGGCTTAATGCCAACAAACTGACGCTTGATATAAAAAAGTCAAATTTTGTTATTTTTCGCCCACACCAGAAATCAGTAAATTATCATCCAGTAATTAGCATGTATGATAATAATTCTAAGCAATACACACCACTCGAATGCAAAGAATATATAAAGTATCTTGGTATCATTATTTATTGCCACTTAAGTTGGAAGCATCACATTGACTATATTGCATTAAAGATTAGTAAAAATGTTGGGATTATCTCAAAATTGGGATATTTTATTCCAAATCATACCGTACTAGATATATATAGGTCCTTAATTTTACCTTATCTTTCGTATGGACTGTCTGCATGGGGAAATGCTCCCAAGTTTCACATTAAGAAACTTCTTATATTACAAAAACGCTTCAGAAATGTTCGTTTTCTCGACTTGGTGCGGAAATTTGGAATAGTATTGACCAGGGCCTTCGCTCAAAAAGTAAAAAGATATTTAAACAAAAAATGTGCCAGGCCCCCTTTACAATTCTTACAACTGAGAATCACTATGTTGATGTGCCCATGATAATAGCAAGATTGTGAATTGTAACTATGATGGTTTAAATTACCTTAAATATTTTGCTTGCCTTTTCTCTGCAATGCTAGATCTGTAATACTGTATTTAAAATTACCATATTTTTCATAATCAATTAACTTTATATACTTTCCTTCACTTATTTGTAAAAATATTTTTCTAAACTTACTTAAACTACCTACACTTAAATTCATTGCCTGCCACGACTAGCTTGCCTACTTGCAGGTAATGCAACATATAGTCTTTTTTGTAAATCTTTGTAAACATTAAACATTAAACATTAAACAGAGTGAGGAACCTTGTCCTCAGAGTGAGGAACCTTCTCCTCAGAGTGAGGAACTTTGTCCTCAGAGTGAGGAACCTTGTCCTCAGAGTGACGAAACTTGTTCTCAGAAGGAGGAACCTTTTCCTCAGTGTGAGGAACCTTGTCCTCAGAGTGAGGAAACTTGTCCTCAGACTGACAAACCTTGTCCTGAGAGTGAGGAACCTTGTCATCAGAGTGAGGAACCTTGTCCTTAGAGTGACGAACCTTGACCTCAGAGTGAGGAACCTTGTCCTCAGAGTGAGGAACCTTGACCTCGGAGTGACGAACCTTGTCCTCAGAGTGAGGAACCTTGTCATCAGAGTGAGGAACCTTGTCCTCAGAGTGAGGAAACTTGTCGTCAGAGTGAGGAACCTTGTCGTCAGGGTGAGGAACCTTGTCCTCAGAGTGAGGAAACTTGTTCTCAGAGGGAGGAACCTTTTCCTCAGTGTGAGGAACCTTGTCCTCAGAGTGAGGAAACTTGTCCTGAGAGTGAGGAACCTTGTTATCAGAGTGAAGAACCCCTCAGAGTGACGAACCTTGTTCTCGGAGTGACGAACCTTGTTCTCAGAGTGAGGAACCTTGTCATCAGAGAGAGGAACCTTGTCCACAGAGTGGGGAACCTTGTCCTCAGAGTGAGGAACCTTGTCCTCTGAGTGAGGAACCTTGCCTCAGAGAGAGGAAACTTGTTCTCAGAGGCCCTGAATCACTTCTATACACGTTGTTGCGGGTTGTCAACATTACTTGGAACGATTTACTTGGAGACACGATTGCATACTAAACTTTCTTGCAAAAACTTTTCAAAGTTTAAACGAATGCAAATTATATGTTGATCTTCCTGGATTTGAAAGCCCCTCGATTATTACGGGAGATGAATATCGTCCTGATTTACTTGTCTCCACTTCAGACAAACACCTCTACGTTGTTGAACTTACAGTAGGCTTTGAATCAAACCTCACAAACAATATTGTTAACCGCAAGAAAGCTAAATATCAAAACCTAATTAGGGAACTGGATCAAAACTTTACATCTGTTAAATTTATTAATCTTTCTGTCAGTTCGCTAGGGGTGTTTGACAAAGAATGTCATACATTCGTAAAAATGCTAAATGAGTTAGGACTGGATAATCAACACCAACAATATTGTATCAGAAAAATTATATCTATTGCCACCGGATCCACGTACTACATATTTTGCTGTAGAAATAAAGAATGGACAAACCCAAACTAATGAACATTTAAAGTAACTATTTCTATAAATAATTAACAATTTTTGTATATAAAATTATAACCATGCATGTATAAGTCATTCAAGTAGTCAATTGCAGGTTATCTCAAGAAGTTAGATTTACAATTGTATATATCTATAAATGTTCTATTAATAAAGTTTTCATTATTATTATTATTATTATTATTATTATTATTATGTACCTGACGAATAGAAGAAAGCTTGTACTATATTAATCCACAAGAAAAATGATGCTAATCTCCCCGAGAACTTCCGTCCAATAAGTTCACTTCAAGTCTCCGTAATGCGATGTTCTCAATTACCTACTCGCCAATAACTTTATCGAGCACAAAATTCAAAAAGGCTTCACCCCTCATATATCGGGGACATTTGAACATACAGCACAAATGGCTTAGATAATCAATCAAGCACGAATAAGACAGCGATCTCTCGTTATAACCTTTCTTGATCTCAAGAATGCGTTTGGTGAAGTACATCACAATTTAATCCAATCTGTTCCTGGCTATCATCACATACCTCAACATATTAAACTCATGATTAAAAGCCTTTACACAAACTTTTAAACATCGATCATCGCATCTGATTTTAACACCCCATTTGTAGAAGTATGTCATGGAGTTTTGCAGGGAGATTGCATCAATCCATTACTATTTAATCTATGCTATAATACTTTTATCCAGCACATAAAATCGGAGAAACATCAACAGTTTGGATTTTCTGATAAACTTCTCAACCCAATTCATTGGTTCCTGTTTGCTGACGACGCAGCCGTAATAACCGGCCAAGAATCTGAAAATCAACACCTACTAAACCGTTTTGCAATTTGGTGTCAATGGTCAGACATGATTATTCGAGTAGGTAAATGGCTTAGCACCTTTGGCATTAAAAAAACTCTCGCCAAATCAGTCCAGTACCTCCCTAAATTAATCATTAACAAGTCTATTATTCCGCCTATTGAAAGTGGAAAATCATTCTGCTATTTAGGAAGGTTCTTTAATTACGAAATGACAAATAATGAACATAAATCGGAATTAGTATCACTATTGACAGACCTAATGAAAGAAATAGATCTGAAGCCATTACATTCGAAAAACAAGATTCTCCTCTACCGTCGCTACGTTCTTTCAAAACTCTCATGGCATTTCACTATAGCATCAATTAAAAAAACGTGGGTTTCCGAAAACCTGGACTCAGTTTTCAAACAATACATTCGTAAATGGCTTGAGGTACCTATTTCTGGATCACTTAGTAACATTTACCTAACCAGTAACAAATTTGGTCTGAACATTATCCCCCCATCAACTAAATTCATACAATGTCAAACAACTATCCGCAGTGCTTTGAAGTCATCTCCTAACGAATCAATAACCCACCTCTGGAAATCAACCCGTAATCATACTAACACCTAATATGATCAGTATACGTCGGCAAAAGAAGTAATCAAGTCATTCCGTGAAATTCACGTAGATAAATTGGAAAACCGGTTAAAATGTCAAGGTTCATTCTTCTCCAGCGTCTCAAAATTTTCACTACCCCAAATAAATTCGATTTTGCCAACCTGTCAATCCAAACTACCAAAAAACAGTTTCAACTTCACTATTCGCCAACCCGTAAAAACCTTCAAAAATGGGGATTCCCTTCGTCCTCTGAGTGCTCGTTTTGCCTTAAACCTGAATCTCTGTTACACGTTGTTGCTGGCTGTAGTTCCTATCTTGATCGATTTACTTGGAGACACGACTAAATCCTAAATTTTATTGCTAATAACCTCCCATCAGAACATATTCAGACCATTTATGCTGACTTACCATCATTCCTTAATCCTTCTGTTATTACTGGCGATGACTTTCGTCCTGATCTACTAATTTTGACGAAAGACAATTGTCTATATTTGCTCGAACTAACCGTTGGATATGAGACTAACCTAAGGAATAATATACAGCGCAAATAATCAAAATATAAAGAGATGATCGTAGAACAAAAGACAAAAATCTGACCGGTAAAGTTCATTAACCTCTCAATCAGTCCACTCGGTGTTTTTGAAAAAGAATCATCAGATTTTATACAAATGTTGGAACATTTGAACTCAGATAAGGCCTGTGTTAAATATACCATTAGGAAAATCATTAACGTTGCAATAAGAACGACATATTACGTTTTCTGTTGTAGAAACAAGGAATGATCGAATCCAGATTCAATAAACTTCTAGTTAGTCTGTTACTTTTTGTATCATATAATTATGACCATGTGTTATGTAAATGTAGTAATGTATAGTGTATCAAGTAGCCAATTGTAAATTAACTTTAACAGTGAGATTTTTAATTGTAAGTGCATAAAAAATTCAATAAAGTTTTATTATTGTTATTATTATTATTATACAAGGATCTAATTACGCAGCAGAAAGACCATTTCAAAACTGTCAAATTTATTAATTTGTCTATTAGTGCCTTAGGTGTTTTCTCAAAAGAATGTAGCACGTTTATGAAAATGTTGAACGAAGTTGGTCTTGATAAAAAACATCAGAACTTTTGTGTTAAGAAAATAATGTCCATCGCCATCAGAACAACGTACTATAGATTTTGTTGTAGGAACAAGGATTGGACCGATCCGGACTTGATAAACATTTAAGAGTGAGCTTTCTCTTAGTTTTATACTGTTGAATAATGCTAGATTAGATTACTAACTTTAAACCTATCTTATTAACATTCATATTTCTAGGCTAGTTTTGGGTTAGCTGTGCCTCGGTCACATGACAGTTGTTTTGGCTCACTTTTATATAGTTTTAGAAAAACTCGAAACACAACGCTTTGTAATAGTTTTATACACAATAATATTCAACCAAACAAACCTGGTCCTCGTCTTTTACGACATTATTTGGTGCCGTGACCAGGATGGAAGAAACTCAAAGAATTCAGCGCTCACGAAAGCGACACAGAGCTCATTTGACAAAGGTTTTAAACAAGGCTACAACAATTATGGAGAATGACGAAGCCCCAAACGCCATGCAGATTGCTTCGCTCACCGCTACTATTGAACAACTCGCAAGAAAAAGAACCGTATTGAACGAACTGAACGAAAAACTCTTAGCTATGGTCGAAGATCCCGACTGACTCGAACAAGAAATCATGGAAGCAGAGGATATTGAATGTGAAATCAACGAGAAAAGTGCTCAGATAAGTGCCTTTGTTTTGTCTTGTAATACTGTTAAGAATCCAGTAATCTCACAAGCTAATGCACCCCAAGTTATTACATCTCCACAACAAGTTAGTGCACCCCAAGTTATCACACCTCCACAACAAGATAATTCACCACAAACCATTCCATCTCAACAAGTCAGTGAATCACAGCCCACTACATCCTCAACACTCGAAGTAAATCCATTGCAAACCCCACCGTTAAACCAAGAACAATCAGTCACTGTTAACGAATCCGAAGGTGTTAGTTCAATGAATACTAGCACTAATACTGGTAATCTTCCAATGAACTATCAATCCAACCCAGTATCACCAACATCTCAACCACACCTCACCTCACCCCAACCCCAAACCATGTGAGTCGTTTACCCAAATTAAACTTACCAACGTTTTCTGGAAACCCCTTGACTTGGAACACATTTTGGGACTCATTTAATGTAGCTGTAAATTCAAATCCGAATCTTGAAGGGGTACAAAAATTTAACTATCTAAGAGCCCAATTATCTGGAGATGCTGCCAGAGCTATAGCTGGATTCCCACTTACCAACAACAACTACAAACAAGCTGTAGACCTTCTCAAAACTAGATTTGGAGAACCCCAAAAGATAATTAATAATCACATGCAAGCTCTATTGAACTTACCCAACCCATCCAATGACCTAACTAACCTACAGCAATTCTATGATTCTATGGAAACCCATGTAAGGGGTCTTTCTTCCCTTAGTAATTTTCTCCAGATATCCTCAGATGAATACAACCTACAACGATTTTGGTCTCTAGAGTCATTGGGAATAACACCACCAACTGAAAATGATCCACATAAACAATTTCTCTAACAGTATCAACAATCATTCATCAGCCGTGACACGAATGGCAGTTACATAGCAGGATTTCCGTGGAAACCAGAACACCCACCTGTCCAATCTAACTACACGGTATGCGAAAGGAGAACAAGATCGATGGCACGTCGCCTCAAACAAACACCGGAACTACTCCAGACATATAGTAATATCATCACCGAGTATGAAGTCGTGGATTTATAGAGAAAGTTCAAACAACTCAACACTCAGATAAAGCTCATTATATTCCCGAGCAAACGATAAAGAAAGATGAACTAGTTATGGTCCACGATGATAAACCCAGAAACACATGGAAATTATCAATCATAGAAGAACTTATTCGAGGAAACGATGGATTAGTGCGAGCCGCAAACATCCGCACAAAAAATGTTCGCACGAACAGACCAATCACCAAATTATACCCGTTAGAGATCTCCGCAGAAATTAGCAAAGAACAACAGAAACAATCGAATGGCGCGGAAGAAACCGACACGCGAACAATTGCTAAAAACAATTCTTCACGACCAAAGAGAGCGGCGGCTCTAAAAGCAAGAAACAAAATTTTAAAATGGGTCGAAGAACTTTCCCCGGCCCCGGAGGATGTTGAATAATGCTAGATTAGATTACTAACTTTAAACCTATCTTATTAACATTCATATTTCTAGGCTAGTTTTGGGTTAGCTGTGCCTCGGTCACATGACAGTTGTTTTGGCTCACTTTTATATAGTTTTAGAAAAACTCGAAACACAACGCTTTGTAATATTTTATACACAATAATATTCAACCAAACAAACCTGGTCCTCGTCTTTTACGACATATACCTGTAATATAGTTTTATCAATAATTAATAGTTCAAGTAGTCAATTATAAATTACCTTAATTAGTGAGATTTATAATTGTATATACATAAAATGTCAAAATAAAGTTTCCATTATTATTATTATTGTTATTGTTATTATTATTGACGGTACGACGTGTACTTCAACTTTATTTCGAACGCTAAGACCTGCCATAGTGGTGCATTTTAAGGGTTCTGTATATATGTGGTTGAATTAACTGTTTTGATAATGATTTAATTTAAAAGAATATAAAAACTATTTGTTAACAAAGCAATATCAACGAGAGTTCACTGTTCGATGTTTTTAATAAACACGACAACCAACATGTTCTCCAATTAAACACGTGACCACTTAACTAATAAAAACAAACCGGAAGTCCGTAATGTTTATCTTATATAAAGTTTACGAGTGTATACTTTCAACACTCCTGCTCACTCATATAACTGTATGTTCATTTATAACTAACTCCGAGCATCTTTCTAAGTTTGGTAAACTGAACAACACTTAGTCCCTTAGTAAAAATGTCAGCGATCATTTCTTCAGTGCAACAGTATTCGAGTTTAACAGCAGCACTAGCAACATGTTCTCGAATAAAATGGAGTGTATCTAAAAGTCGAGGATCGAGAGTAAAGGTCGAGAGTCGAGAGTAAAAGTCGAGAGTCGAGAGTAAATGTCGAGAGTCGACAGTAAAAGTCGAGAGTCGAGAGTAAAAAGTCGAGAGTCGAGAGTAAAAAGTCGAGAGTCGATCGAGAGTAAAATGTCGAGAGTCGAGAGTAAAAAGTCGAGAGTCGACAGCAAAAAGTCGAGAGTCGACAGCAAAAGTCGAGAGTCAACAAAAATGTCATCAGAAACAACAAAGTCTAAATATTTTTAATTAACACAATATATAGCCGTTCCGTATTAAAACAAAGCCTGAACTACAAACTTTCGAATATAAATATAGCTACAATAATAGTCAATAATATAAAAACGTGAACAAAAAAACTGCATGATACGAAACTAATCAGTATCATATGTGATGCTTTCATCTTGCTAAAAGTCATTTCATTAAATTTTGCTGCCTTTCAATGTGGCACATAAACGGAATTTTGACAGACAGTCGCAGATAAAACATTGTCTATTCTCATGACAAAGTTCAATGTTTTTACCGAGAAACTTCAATGTTTGTGATATTAATCATTTAGTGATGGTTTCAATGCCGGATGATTCCAGCTATAGACTAATTTTGATCTAGGCAAGAAGAACAAAATCCATATTTGGGACGAAAGTGGTGCATTTTCCCGCGCGTGATAGAAATTAATGCAAAATTTGCAAATTCCGAAGGTGATATATTCCGCATTTTACAACATTTTTCGCGGCCAAACTTTGCAATTTTACTAATTTTAGCATGCCCTTTCTAGCTGTGGTGATGGACTTTGTCCTCATATCTTGCCTAGATCAAAATTAGTCTATAGCTGGAATCATCCGGCATTGAAACCATCAAATGAATAATATTACAAACATTGAAGTTTCCCCGTAAAACATTGAACTTTGTCATGAGAATAGACAATGTGTTATGTGCGATCATCATCCTTAGTTGCAAGCGACGGTAGTGGCAAGCAGGTCACAAGCGGCCCGGAGCTCGCTGTCAAAATTCCGCTTATGTGTCTACATTGAAAGGCAGCAAATTGCTACAAATGAATTTGATGAAATGACATGTTAAAAAATTTAGTAAGACGAAAGCATCACATGTGATATTAGTTTCGTATCCAGTCTTCAGGGCCGTAGCGAAGGGGGGTATTGGGGGGGGGGGGGTTGCTGTCGACTCTCGACTTTTTGCTGTCGACTCTCGACTCTTTACTCTCGACTCTTGACTTTTTACTCTCGACTCTCGACTTTTTACTCTCGACTCTCGACTTTTTGCTCTCGACTCTCCACTCTTTACTCTCGACTCTCGACTTTTTACTCACGACTCTCGACTTTTACTCTCGATTCTCGACATTTACTCTCGACTGTCGACTTTTACTCTCGACTCTCGACCTTTACTCTCGACTCTCGACCCTCGACTTTTAGATACACTTTATATCAATGTGTTTTGCACGTCCATGGTACTGTGCATTCTTTGCCATACAGATTGCTGCTTGATTATCTTCAAGTATCAACATTGGACCGGTTGGCTTGCTCTTTAGATCACTTAGAAGTTGTTGTAGCCAAACTGCTTCTTGGGTTGCACTTGCAATGCCATGTATTCTGGTTCAGCATTCGAGAGAGCCACACATGACTGTTTTTTGCTTCGCCAACTGATAGCTGCGTTGCTTATCTGGAAGACATATCCCGAAGTTGATTTTCTGTCATCAAGATCTCCAGCCCAGCTCCAGGACAGATAAAGTAGATGTCCAACGGCACACTGGTAGTTAACTTGGTCCACTCGTTGACTTTCGTCTGCTGCCTTCTTCAGTTTTGTCCCAGGGTTAACAGGTGTGCGTGCTGGTTTCGAACTTTCCATGCCAAATCTTTCCAACACACTCTTCGTGTACGCTTCTTGGCCAATCCAAATTTCTTTTGAATCTGGTTTCTGGATAACTTTCACACCCAGGAAGTAGTGTAGTTGACCCATATCTTTCATTTGAAATTGCTCAGCGAGTGCTTGCTTCACTTCATTGATTTTCTGACCATTCTTTCCGGCCAGGAGAATATCATCAACATACATAGCAATAATGAATATCTCTCCACCTTCTTCCTTTATATAGATACATGGATCATCGGTGGTTTGTACAAAGCCCATATTCTTCAATTTTCTGTCGAGAACAGAGTTCCAACAACATGGAGACTGTTTAAGGTCATATATACTTCGACGTAACCTGCAGACCAGCTGTTCTTTTCCCTTCTCAATGAAACCTTCCGGTTGTTTCATGTAGACTTCTTCTTTGAGATCTCCATTCAGAAATGCTGTTGTGACGTCCATTTGATGAAGCTTTAAACCATGCTGTGCAGCTAACGCAATAACTGTTCGAACTGATTCAAACCTAGCTACAGGTGAAAATGTTTCATCATAGTCGTCACCAAATGTTTGACTGAAACCTTGAGCTACGAGCCGGGCCTTGTGTGTTTCAACTGTTCCGTCCGCATCTGTTTTAACTCGAAATACCCACTTGCTGCCAACGGCTTTACGATTCTCGGGCAGTTCAACTAGGTTCCATACTTCGTTAGTTTTAAG